CACGGTGCTCCCTGGGCACTGACCCTCCGATGGCGCGGCGCTCCCTTGGCACTGACCCTCCGATGGCGCGGCGCTCCCTTGGCGCTGACCCTCCGATGGCGCGGCGCTTCCTCGGCGCTAACCCTCCGATGGCGCGGCGCTCCCTTGGCACTGACCCTCAGACAGCGCGGCGCTCCCTCAGTACTGACCCTCCGACAGTGCGGCACTCCCTCAGCACTGACCCACCGACAGCGCTGCGTTCAGCACTGACCCTCCGACAGCACTGAGCTCCCTCAGCACTGACCCTCCAACAGCGCAGCGCTCCCTCAGCATTGACCCTCCGACAGCGCTGCGTTCAGCACTGACCCTCCGAAAGCACTGAGCTCCCTCAGCACTGACCCTCCGACAGTGTGGTGCTCCCTCAGCTCTGACCCTCCGACAGTGCCCACTCCCTCAGCACTGACCCTCCAACAGCGCGGCGCTCCCTCAATACTGACCCTCCAACAGTGCAGCGCTGCCTCAGCACTGACCCTCCAACAGCGCGGCGCTCCCTCAATACTGACCCTCCGACAGTGCGGCACTCCCTCAGCACTGACCCAGTGACAGTGCGGCGCTCCCTCAGCATGACCCTCCGTCAGTTCCCACTCCCTCAGCACTGACCCTCCGACAGCGCGGCGCTCCCTCAGTACGGACCCTCCGACAGTGCGGCACTCCCTCAGCACTTACCCTCCGACAGTGCGGAGCTCCCTCAGCACTAACACTCCGACAGCGCTGCGCTCCCTCAGCACTGAACCTCCGACAGTGCGGCACTCCCTCAGCACTGACCCTCTGACAGTGCGGCACTCCCTCAGTACTGCACTGGTGTGTGTCGGCCTTGATTACTGCATTAGAGTGACACTTTGACCTTGTAACTCAGAGGCGAGAACATGACCCACTCAGCCAGGGCTGACAACAAATACAGCTTGACACCAATGCACATCCGAGAAAGAGCAAAAGATGAAACAAGTAGTAATTTAAAAACAAACAGAGTCCATAATTTGGCTGGGTGATGGGGTGGCTAACTGGAACCAACCCAAACCAGACTTTCTATCTTACCATCACTCCATCTAGAGCTGGAAAGACAGCACACACTCCCTGGGCCTGCACCGAGAAGATTGTATCTTGTGCTGGAAGGCAGCACATCGCCATCCAAACGGATAAACATTAGCATTGGCTCGTAGCCTGGACTTAATGAAAGCCGTGTGTCTGGATCACCAGAAGGAGGAATTGTCTCATTAACTGGGCAGGAGCCTGGCGTCCCTCCACACATCGACAATATAACAAACAGG